CCGCCGCGGTTTTCTTGCTTGATTTCGTTGACATTGTTGTTGCGGAAAGTACGCGACTAGTCTGCACGCGAATTCTCGCGCCTGCGGTCTCGTACGAGGCACTCTACGTCGCTCTCGATTAGACACCCTCGGCGAGTACACTGAGACAGAGAGAGAAAGAGGGAACACCGGCGGCGCGTCCGTGTCTAGCGTATCATCAACTCGTTGCCGATAACGTCTTCTAATCTAACGTCAGCGCGTCCGTGTCGATCGAGCGAACGCGTGTACTACCTCCGTGATCGTCTGATCAACGTCTCGCACACCTCGCAGTCAAATGCGCACTACCGGATCAAGCAGCGCCAGCCAACGGTCGGATTAGTGCGCTTGCTTGTGACGACGCCACATCACAAGCCGGGTTTCGCGCCGCCATTAACCGGAAAGAAGCGCCGCGTGCGATGATTGGCCGTGGCGTCGCAGGGACGCCACGCGATCGACCTATCGCCGCTCGCGAGCCGGCCGACCGCGCTCAGTGTCGCGCGACACCATTGGCAGCGTCCAGTATCGATAGTACTAGAATGTACCATGCGACCAATCGCAGTGAACGATCGAGGAGACGTTACGTTTGAACGCGATCGTTGAATCGTCATTAACGGATTTTCCAGCACTATTACATTTCTTTATTTTAATCGTATGTTTAATCAGCCTTTACGCTTTCCGTACTTTGGATAAGACGTAGGACTCAGGAGTTTTATTCTCGAAAAATATTGCATGTGAAGATACTAGGGAAGTCTTAATATATGTAACAAATACTACTTATAGTATTTTTGTACGTACACACATTTTCGCGTGAAATATTTGTCGAGAATACAGTCCTTGTTTCTGAAGGGTGAAAAAGCGAAAAAGTTAATAATAAATTTATAATTTTCTAGCTATTAGTATTTTACAACAATATTTCTCCGCGGTATATTGTCTGCATTTCTTAAGAAATTATTTTTAATTCGAATTTATATAATAATAAACTAAGATATTTTAAACTAAAGATATTTTTGCATAGAGTATCTTTCAATATAATTATATATTTTCGTAAACTATTATATTAACGAAATTAAATTTGTTAAAAACAATATTGTTTCCCTAATTAATTTAATTTTCAGATCATTGATGATAACAATAAATGATAAAAATTATTTTACATAAAAGTATTTCTCTCTTTCAAAAATTTTTAATTCTCATAGACTGTTATACTAACGAAACTAATTTCAATTAATTGTCTTCACAATGAAGAATTTATTCCAAAAATAGTTTTTTAATAATATTTCAAGTTGAACGTTGGGTAGTTTTAAAACAACAAACAGCGTTTTATAAATAAATATTGCATTATGATATATTTTAACAACCAGTGGTAACAAAGGTAGGTGTCTCTTTTACGTATTTATAGCAACAGAACAGCACTCTCGTATGGTACAAGCTTCGACTTATTTAACTGTTCAATATATATTTATATTTATATATACATATGTATACATCCCTTTGAACCCCGAAAAAGAGTTTTCGTATAATATAATAATACAGTCATAGAAAAAAATTTGTTCTGGAGGCAACCGATGTAACTTATAAAGCTTATGACTTTAAATAACTTTTAGGATTCTGAATAAGACATATATGTACATATATGTATGCATACGTATGTATGGTATATGTAAACATATGTATATATAACATACATATTATATATATATATAAATGTATATAATATGTATAAATGTATAGATCTCTCCTTGTTTAAAGAATATGATTCTCTAGTGACATGTGATATATTAAATATATAGATATAATCTGTTACATCAGCATTTTCGCGTTTTAGATATCTATATATATAATAACTAATATATACATGTTATAAATTCGATAATATCTCACGCATAGCTTCTCTCCGCTACACACCGTACTTTATTTGGTTTAACAGAGGAGTGTCGCTTCAGTCATCTTTGGTAGAAGCATGCTTTTTTTTCGTACAACGCTATCTCATACAAGATAACACAAAACGTTACTCAATTAACGCGTCTGTTCCCTGAGTTGATATACAACCACATTTCAGTCTTTACCATTTTGTTACTTCATCTCTCACAGCAATTATTACACATCAATTAAAACAATTATCTCACTAGTATAAGCACAGCAATCTAACAAAATCAAAAGATCAAGGCCGGAAATGTGTTGCCCTTTCTTATAAATCCCCTTTTCGTGATACAAAACTGCCTGAAAAAATATCTTCCCCTAACACACATACTTTGTATTTTAAATTTTGATAGAATGCAGTACAAAAACAACAAAGGGGATAAATACGAAATAATTTGTTGGAACTAATTCCTTCACTTATATAAGTCGATAATCAATCAACTTTCGAATTATGAAGAATTATATCAATCACGAATTAACGATAACACATTGGTGATTACAAAACTGTAATCTGGCTTAATTAAATCTAATTCATTTTTTCTCGCGCTCCGAATGCTTTATCGCAACTCATTCATTTCCATCATTCTCAAAATTGTTACATATGTCAAATACTACACAAATACATCAAAGTGTGACGAGGTTTTTATACGAAAAAAATTAAATACTGAATAGAAATTCTTTTCGATTTTACTTATTATCTATGACCAACATCGTCAATCAACATCGTCATTTTTTTTTATAATCATCTGTAAAAATTAATAGAATATAATGTATATAATTATATAAACAAAATTTTCTTTAATCGTATAAATAAGTGTCATTATTCTCAATAACACTATTCGTAAAAGAGTGCTTAATTTATATTTTCTTTTTTAACAAATAGTATTTTTTAAATATGTTTTTTTTCCGTTTTCTTGATTGAGGTACCACTGGTAATAACAGTTGCTTTTGTTATCTTCGCGTAATCGCGTGTCATTTCTATTACATTAATATCTTTAATGTACTCATAATGAAATGAGCTTTTGAGGCACATTCACCACATATACACTCGTTATAAGCAATCGCTAAAATTTTCTTCGTATTGGCTAGTTAATCACTAATCGTCATCTTTATGATTATCGATTGCAGAAGTGAATTTTTGGAAGAAAATTTTAACGGGAGTGTGTAATGAGTTATAATAACTTACAACGTTTGTCGTCCTCGCACTATAATCACAGACAATCCCAGTTTAACGCAACAAAACGATTCACCATCTTATTTGCATCCGCCTACTTTACATTTCTCTGTTTCTCTCTGATAGAAGTAATAAAAATAAAATTCTGTACACTGCATAATAAATTCTGTATATTGCGCAAATCTTCGCGGAGAAACGTTGATACTTTGTTGAGACCCTGACCATAGTGATATATCGTTTTATACACGTCCATTTCTGGTATCTATCCAATATATTTAAATTAGCATCGTAAGAATGCACTTTTCAATTATATAATTATTTAGATAGAAAATGGACCAAGATTTTTTTTAAGAAGATGGGATGGCATAATTATGTTATAGCTATTTATATATTTATATACGATATTCTAAAACTCTGATGAGATAGGAATGATGCGATGTTCGCGTCCTGTACGAACGCAGAAGGCAGCGGTGTTATAAAGATATACCGTGTAAAATGCATAGGAAACAAAGTGTGAATTCATTGGAGCGTTACTGGACCAAGCATAAGTAGGAAAACTCTCTACTCGACTATAATCGTGGCAAGGCGTTTCGGCCGCTTGCCAGCTTTATGTCTCCTATGGACATTCCCTTCGTCATGCGCGACTTGCGAGGACGACTCGAACGACTCCGCGGAATTGTCAGAACCTATATCTCTGTCCGAATTTATTATTTGTTCGAGTTTACGTTTCCGCGATCGTGTCATTGGACCGTTACTACTGCTGCCACTAGTTTCGCTGTCAACGTCGCGTCGATGTCGATGCTTTTTCGTCGGGATTATCGGTTGACACGATTCATGGTCGGCATTGCGTTTGGTCCTTTTCGCGGTTCTCTCGAATTCTTGCAGTGAAAGTCTTACCGAGGAATTCGAATCGGAAGAAGAAGATAGGGAACTCAGGTACTCGTTAACAACTTCGTCATTAAAATCGAAGACGCTTGGTGACGAGGTGGAAGTGTTTGCAGCACTTGCTGTAGCGCTTGGTAGACGCAACTGAACCGACGACGGACTCGACGAGGAAGAAGAAGACGGTCTCGATGTGGAGGAACTGGAATTGGAACGTTTGTGCTTGCGACGCTGAGCCAGTTTGGCGGCATCGACCGCGCGCAATCGGAAACCCTCGCGCTCGTGCGTTGACGTTGAACTGACGGCTACCGCATTGTCCGCGTGAACCGCATCAGTGGCTGGTGTTACCGGGAGGATCGTTGCGTCATGCGTTGTCAACCACGAATGGTACACCAGAGAAGCTGCGGTGAGTCTATTGTTGGGATCGATCATCAATAAACCTTTCATCACTTGTTTCGCACCCGGGGACACATGACTCCAAGCCTCGCTGTCAAAATTAATCTCACCGGCTTTGATGCGCATCGCCACGTTAGGTGTATCTGTACGGAAAGGTGGATTGTCGGACAACATGAAATACAGAATAGTCCCCAGGGACCACATGTCGCAACTCTCGTCGTATTCTTGGTTAGCCACAACCTCTGGGGCTGCGTACGGGAGCGTGAAGCAGGGCGTGTGTAACGGCTCGCAGCTGTTCTTCATCCGAGCAAATCCAAAGTCAACTATCTTTACAGGCGAATCTTCGCCTTGATGCACATATACGATATTCTCTGGCTTGAGATCACGATGCACTACGCCACGCGAATGCATGTATCGCACTGCGGATGCCAATTGCCGCATCACTCGCTTGGCCTGCCGCTCCGAGAATGGGCGCGGTCGTTGTAACAATTCCCCGCCCGAGAGCAATTCCATCACGATGTATGTGTGAAGTCGATCGTGGTGGACTTCTATCAATTTCACTACGTTCGCGTGACGCTGGCACGCACGCAACAAATTCTCCTCCCGACTGCAATCCACTCGCCTGCTGACGATCTTCACGGCGTATTCCTGCTGGGTCTTACGATTACGACACCGCCGACAAATCGAAAAACTGCCGTCGCCTAGAGCTGGTCCCGCTTGGTCTAACTCGTACGTCTGGAAGAATGTGGACTCTTCGAAACACGTGTTCAACAGATCGGACAACAAAGGTCGTTGCGAACTGGCCTCGCCACCGAAGATATCCCTGCTCACCACGTTGTCGGTGAATAGTATCGAAGGCGCTACATAGGAATAACCCTGTAAAAACATCCAAGTGAGAAATTTTGTAAATGCTTAATAAAATCCGTAACTACTGTTACGCGGCTACCTATTTATTCGAAATAATAACGAAAAAAATTAAGAAAACACTTACCCTAAAATGTTTGTCAGGATAGTCACCATCAATGACCGCTGGACTGTCAACGACGACATTCATCTTCGTGAATTCGTCTGAAAAATTGCTGGTGTCCAATTCGTGCGAAATTTTGGGAATCAAAGGTGGCTTGATCTGTTTCTTCTCCAGACCTTCCCAAGTAAAGGCCGGTGCCGCATCCATGAAGAAGGGATGCTCTTTGAGCTCTTTAGCGTCGCGCGGTCCACCGCCCAATCTTTGTCGTGGATCTTTGATTAGCAAGCGGGTGATGAAATCGCTCACGTTGGCACTCAGGTGGCTCGGCATTGGTGGCGGATCATTCTTCAATATCCTCCTCGAAATTTCTTGTTGATTATTTTTCTCGCCCTCCACCGTAAAAGGCGACGCACCGGTCAGTAATTCAAACGTTAATACGCCCACGCTCCACCAATCAACGGCCTGCCAACGAGAATGCCAGCTCGATTACAATACATACGTTTATACATATGTGTCTTTATTCTGTGTTACTGTTAATTATATCCAAGACACAATTGCATCTCCTTTTATATATTTTATTTATATATATGTAACTTTAAAATATATATTTTTTGTGTTTTGTGAAAATTTAATTTAATAATTAGTTATAAGAAGTATGCTTCTTCATTAATATTCAAATAATATATAATATAATTATACGCTTAATAATTCAAAAGTATCATATAAATTTAATTATCTTCTAGGAAGAGATTAATAAAACAGATTATCATCGAGTCGTCATCCGAGAGAAGAAGCTACAAAAGTGGATATGGGGATGAAATAACATGCGAGTTGGAAACGTGAAAAAATAAACAGGTATCAACGTTAACTCACGATATCGTGGCCGTTCGGGCCTGCCTTCACCACTTCCGGTGCCATATACTCGATAGTTCCGCAAAACGAGTAAGTACGCGCATTGCCATTCCTTTCGTGCGGTAGGAATTCTTTGCTGAGACCAAAATCCGTCAACACGAGATGTCCCTCCTTATCCAAAAGTATATTTTCAAGTTTGATATCTCGATATATTACGCCAAGCTGCAACATAAAATAAAATATTATATACAATAGATTCAATTTAATTAATTTCGTTCCTCGTCAAAGGTATCTTGTTGTTTGTGCACACATATAACATCGGTATATATATTAATACATACGTCATGAAGGCGCTCTAGCGCCAGGATAATTTCGCCAATGTAAAATCGTACTGCATCCTCCGTGAAGCAGTCATGTTGATATAGGTGCGTAAACATTTCACCGCCGGCAACATATTCTGAAAATAGAAAAAAATCTCATAAGTTCAAAGTTCTATATCCTCGGAGAAGAAAGAAATAGAACAAAGTTTTCTTTGTTATGTGTCATCTACAACGACATTTGATACAGGCGATAGATCAAATAAAAAAAAAGGTTTATTTTATTGATATCATTTTTTTTTATTCAATTTTGTTGCATAAATATATAAAATCTTGTATTTCATCCGTATATAGATCTTTTTATTTTTTGTCTGTAATGTAAGTAATACCGAAATTGTTTAAGAAATTATTTTGCAGAGACAAAATATTAACTTCCATATTATTTATTCAGCAAAATTTAACTTGACACGCATGTATGTTATATTTCTTCTTTTTTATATATTTTAGTTTTTACTTTATTTATCCTCTGTCCTTTCCATTGGTAGACTTATTTTCCTTTACTTTCAGTTCTTCGCCGAGTCTCACCTAAGATCAAACAGAGTTTGTCGTCAGTTTGAAACGCGTAATAGAGAGTTATCAGGAACGGGCTATCCCTGATAGCCTCCAAGATTTGCCGCTCGGACTTGGTGTGCTCCGTCGTTTTCTTCTTCTGTACGATGGAGGCCTTCTTCAGCACCTTCATGGCATAAAGCCGTCCGGAGTCAGCACCCGTTCTCTTTCGCACCAGGAAAACTTTACCGTAAGCTGTATGAAAACGAGATGATCGATTTTAAAAGCGTGATACGCGTCGCAGTTTAGAGACGTTAATAATAACGGAGATTAAGAAATATCCATGCTGATATTGAAAAAATAGCACAGTCGGAAAAAAAGATCTAAAGCATTACCGGAAATTAACTTATGTATAATATATCGTGTAACAGAAAAACGTTTAAAATTCGATGCCTATAACAGTATAAATATTACAATATCCGTTAGAAATAATTAGAGTGTTATTATTACCGTTACAAACAGTTTGAATGTTACTTATTACCGGTGTTGTAAATATTATGTGTATGATTCAGGATTGATTATAAATATTGTTAAACTGGACCACGTTTCGAAAAAGGCACTTTATCGAATGATTTCTCACCTCCGGTGCCAAGGACTTTCAGCAAGTCAAAGTGTGTCATGTCCACTTTCTGGCTGCCGTTGTCCGCTAGGTTTACTGTAACAGAAAAACGGGAATCCTGTGAGAAAGGTATACTCGATAATATCCGATTGATCATGACATCCGTTATATCATGGCGATTTGGTACAATTGTTACGGAACCGATTTCCGCTCGCGAAAACCGCGCAAACTATACTCGGTGCGCCAGTCGAACGCATGAGAGAAATCGAAGAAACATATTGATGCAAAATTCTAATAACGTGTTTTTCGAAATTGTAATTAACCCTCCGTTTGCAATCTTTTTTTTACTCCTGTTTGCAATCTGAATCTTTTTTTGTTCAACCCAAGTTTTTTTACTGCTCTAAATTTTCAAAAAGAATTCACGGCTACTTTTCAACATCTTTATTACGTTATCAAACAGTTTTTAAAACGTTAAAAGCTTTATTTAATATAAAAATTAAAATTTTCGAGCAAAAATGAGGATGAAATTTGAGAGTAGAATTTCGCTTGTGCAATTTCCCTGACTGCAAACGGGAAGTTTAAAGCATGAGATCATTTCAGATTTCACGTATTTCTGTCAAATGACATTTGTTGATGTAAAGTAGAACCGTACATTGAAAGAGATGTACAATAAATTGACTCGATTTCGCTCTGAGTGGTCTAACGGCTGGACTAGAGTACACTAATTAACAATTTCTTCATTCCTAACGGTCGCATTCTCCTCTCGACATTTGCGTTCTTCCTGGCGACGCGTTTGCCGCGCGTTCCCAGACGCGAGGAGAGAGATTGCGGACGTGGTGACGCGCGCGAAGCAAAGCTGACAAGGCTTCTGAACGAGACAATGAGGTGCTCCTGGCATTCATTTTTCTCTCGACGTCGCATGCGGGAGTGCACGGAGGGAGAGAAAGAAGGAGAGAAAGGAAAGAGGAGAAGGTATATTCGATGTGGCCGAAGCGTCGCGTGGATGACCGGGACGACCAGGACGATGCCGCGGCGCGGCGCCTCGGAATGGAATGCCGCTTATTCGACGCGTGACACGCGAAGGTACAAGCACCTGCGATACGCTGCTAATATCGGCAGGTCGGCAGGTGCGAGGACGGCCGTGAATGTGCATGCATACACGTGAGCGATTCGCCGCGCCGCGCCGCGCCGCGCCATCGCGCCTCACGGCCACGTTTCGCTCCATAGCGGACCATTCGTTTATCGCGGTTTCGCATATCAAAAGACATATGTCGCCCGTAATTAAAGCAGCAAACGCGCGTCTTATGCACGTACTTCAAAACGAAGGAAAAACAAGTCGTATAAAAATTACGAAAGTATGTACATAGCGTTAACTATACGACATAAACGACGAGCGGGAGGGATTTCAAGTGCGGCTTTAGACATTCATGTATTCCATGGCAGCGGAGTTGCGATTATGTTTCAACGTTACATAATTCACGGAACAATTGTATGTAACTGTTGCAGTAAACGTGGCAAACGATAAGAAGCAAGACGAGTAACAATATTGTCCGGTAAATAATGTACAATAATGTATAATAATTTTATCGTTATTTATTTCTGTCGCCATTCGATTTATTGCTGATCGGCATCAATGGATATATTTCTATCGGAAATATATCCATTATATCTATAGCGGAAATATACTCGTTTCGTTTTAATTCTTGGGAAAAACAGCTGCTAATCAGAAAGGAACTACGAATAATGGACGAGATAAATGAATAAGAGAAAATAACGTGGCGCGTACGAGCGAGGTGTTCATCTCGTTCGCAATGAACATAGAATTGATTTCGATTCGGCTAAATGTGTTTGCGTTTAAGTAACATCTGCGAAGTATACATTTAATATTTATACGTCATACGCTGCGCGTGACGCATGTTTCATGTGGGAAAATTCCGAAGGGACAGCTGGGATTCGCACCAGATTTTGTGGACCACCCAGAACGCGAATCTTTATCCTCGCAGTCATCTTTAAGCCGGTTATACGAGACTTCAGTATCGAAGCTGCACGTGAAATTGCACCTCATAAGTCGGAGCAATTCTGCTAAGCATATCCGTTCGCAGTGTCCCAGAACTGCAGCTTTCCTTCTACCATAGAGTAGCATCGACTTAATCAGTCAACTAATCGCGATCTCTTACCCTAATTTTCAGCCACTGACATAAACGACCATCAACTGCCGAGTAACGGTCTTTTAAATGATCTTTAGACAATCAATATTACACAATATTTGATATTGCAATATTATTGATCGTCTAGAGGATATATTAATATTTATTTTTAATAATTAAAGAGGGCATTAATAATTGTACAAAACAATTGTATAATACCTAATATTAATCAACTAGGAGTCGTTTTACGTTTTTTTTACGTTTTGTACATATCTCTTGTATACATATACGTATCTTCACTATTGTGCGTCTTTCGCTTATCTTATCTCCTTTTTTATCTACCTCTTTATTGCGAAGCAGTTAAGTGGGTCACAAAGTTCACGGACAATCAGAATCGAAATGTATATCGATGTCCTCTGTACTTATCCTCTGTATTTATTTTCAAATCCTTTCATCGCTAACTATCGCACTGAGAGAAAATGTTTTATATCTATGACTATTATAGTTGCATGGTAAAATAATTATGATTAGGAGCTCCATTTTTATACTATTACTACTATAATATTAGTAATAATAATTATATTTATAGTGACACTAAAAATGACTATAATTTATAATTAAATTATAGTGATCGCAACCATTTTTTTTTCTCAGCACAAAAATAAAAAATACGCGGGTAATTCCCGCATGATTCTTAAGAAAGTAACCTTGCGATTATACATACATTATACGTATATTAGGAAAAGATGACTAATAAGACTCCCCCTCCCTATTGTGCTTATTTCGTTGACTCATTCGATGGTAACGCAAAAAAATGGGAATCTCAAGATTGCGGCACAAGTAGGTCACGATTCTGTTACAGAAATTGCTAACAACGTTGCCACTTTCACTTTTGCATCTTCGCGTCTCTATATCCTTCCGTGGATTTTCTTTTCTTTTTTTACGCCAAGAGAGAAACCCATTTCTCGGTAGAGAAGCGGCGAAAGGAGCCGGAAGAGTCAATAAGTTCCGATTGAATCGATGCAAGAAATTGCCAGAGGGTTAATGCGATCTCACCGAGACCGCTGAAATTTCCGATAATCGTCATAATCTATGTGTATACAAATTTCTTATGTCATTCAGCAAATTCAGAACTAATCCTAATTGTACAAGTTTAACGTTAATGATTTACTTAACAGTTTAAGCAACTAATTAAATAATTTCTTAAAAATAGAAGCATAATGAGACGTATAGCCCAGTAAATCGCACAATTCATTGAGATTTAATTAAGTGTCTTCATCTTAACATTTCAAAATCGTCTTAGCATCTCAAAATCGTCTCAAAACGTTTTGAAAAAATCGCTAATATATCGCATACTTGAAAGTTTAATTCGTACTAGTGTCATAAGAAATATTTCTAATCTAGTCGAAATACACTAAAGTTTGAGTAATTGAATCAAGCTAATTCAGGGTTGCCACAGAAAATGAATTTTAAAATTCCCTGACTTCCAGGTTTTCCAGATGAAAATAGAAAATTTTTCATGAGTAATATAAAATATGTAAATGTTAACATTTAGACTCACGGATTGTAGGAAAGCTAGTCTATATTATTAAAAACGCAAAAAAAGCTTGGTAGCATAATATAATTTTGGGTGCAAATTCAAGCCACAGCAAAAAATAAATTAGTTAGGAAAACAAAGAATGCAATTATGACGAAAAAGAAGGATCAAATAAAAATACTGAATAAAATATAAATTTTAATTATTTTATTAAAATTGTTGAAAGTACACAAGTTTTGAACGTATTTGACTATAAACGTCAGATATAATATTAAAAAAATTATAACAATTATTTGAAATAGGAGCAGTTTTAGGGAACTGTGAGCAAATTTCGAAATTCCAGTCTTTTTTACACTTTCCCCTGACTTTTCCCGGTTTCCATAACCAATTTCAATTTCCTTAACTTTTCCCGGTTTTCTCGGTTTTCCCGGTTTTCCCGGTTTTCTAGGTCTGTGGCAACCCTGTAATTACATCTGATTTTTACGAGAAGAAAATAGATCTGAAGAATATTCCACGGTTGCGTAATCGCGATGCGAACGAGAATCGAGAGCAGGTGTGATTAGTCGGTGAAAGCACACGGATGCAGATCCGTGATCGCGAGGAATGGTGAAGAAGCCTATAGCCCGGGCTCGTCCCGGGTCCCGGGCGGCCCGGCCCTGACTGCCAGTCCGAGAGAATGCATGTCAAGGTAGCGAAGGAGATCGCATCGGGCGGCGCGGCGCGGCATATCTACGTGCATACGTACGTATAGGTACCTCGCGAGTACGCCACGCACACGCGACTCTTAAGCGCGCTTCCTAGGAATCGCGAACGCGGAATGACCCACTTTTTAGCGGAGGCGTCAGTCAAGTTCGCGGATGAATCTCGCGGAGGTATCTCGTACTCCCGAGGACGTGCACCTCGCCGAGATAAACGCGAGACGACCGATTCTCTCAAGTCTTTAAACTTAAGTCCTCCGATCCGCCTCGTTGCTCGATTCGGCGGCCTCCTTCGAGTCGGCTCGGTGACTTCGAGGCGCGGAGTTTCGCCTCTCCGGTCTCCGTTACCTCGGAACGGCATTCCGGCCCCTCTCACTCGCGTGAATAATGAGTTACCTTTTTCTGACGCTCGATTGCACCGAGGGAAAAACAATCGGGGAAGGATGTGTACCGTAATCTCGCGGGGCCGGCGATGCCAATTTGCAAAATTGGCCTCCGCGCAAGAAATATCACATGGCGGATTTTCGTATCTCTACGAAACATATACCATGTTCTCATATATATTCTCTCATTAGATTAAACAAAATACAAGAATTTTAACGAGAAATTAAAACTCTTGCTCCTTCTACTTTCTTCCCTCACCGGCCATCGAATTCCATAATCTTATGACTAAGTGCGGAATTAGGCGATTCAGCGTCCGTTCAAATTCCAAGA